ATTTTTAAACTCTTTTATTTCATATCATTGCCTCTTAATGGTTAACAGTTTTTAACTTTTTTTTAAATGTAGATTATTCTACAGTGCTTCGTGTCTTGTTAGCGGCATTAAAATGATGTGGTGCTTGTTTAATGTGTCCCCAAAATGATCAAAAACAAGGAACATCAAAAAATATTAACGTCTGAAACGATCAAAATTTTAAAAAATCATAGAAAATGTATCTACTTGTCTAAAGCAGGTGCCAGCAAAATACCAGCAGGTTAAAAAATTATGGCAAAAATACTAGAAAGCCACGTCGTAGGAGAAACCTCATTCGAAAATTTTTCTTGCAAAGAGTTTAATGAAAGTCGAATAGTACTGAAAACTCAAACCAGTGGGAAATGGGCGGCAGACGCATGAGTATGTCGGGTCGGAATGCCCCATCCCTTCTCGACGACATGAAACTTCGCGTTTTCGCCCGTTTGCCGCGAAGAGACCCGCGGGCAGGACCAGGCGGACGGGCAGGACCAGAGGGGTGGCGGCGCTGAAGTGGCGCGATGCCGAGCGATAATGGAGCCGAGCAGAGCAGCGCGGAGCCAAGCGGAGCAGCAGCCCGAGATTTATTTACTTTTCGTCGTGACCTCCGCGTGGCGCTGGGCTCAGCCAGCGGGCTGGCGATGACGCGCAGATAAGCCGCCCGGACCGAAGCGCCGCCGCGCAGCGCGGATGTCTCTCCACGCTCTGCGGCTGTCGACGCCCCCCCCCCCCTCTCTCTCTCTCTCTCTGGACCCGGCGAGCGGCGCTACCGAGTCTGGGCGGCTTAATTGTTACTCGCAGCAGCACAACAGGTCACCGAGATGTCGAATAAATGCTAATGACGGCAACAACAATGAGCGAACGCTTTAGCTTCACGTATGAGCGGGCGCAGCGCCGCGGGCGTCCCGTTGCAGAGCGCTCCGCTTACTGTTGTTAAGTTTTCCCACAGGCGGGCGGCGTCGGCGTCGCGCGGGAGTGGCGGTGGTGGGCGTCACTACTCGGGTACGAGATGGGAGCCAGTGTTTTAAGGTGGGACAAATTAAGTCACTGAATCACTTTACCGCACCGGGAATTGTAGGACACCTTAAATGACGAGAGAGGGGGTGGGAGCGGTGCAATATTGCCCCCATCTACCTATTAATACTTTTTTAAGATTACCAGAAATAATTGATGTGTGCTTGGAATCCACCTTGCAAACATCGTCGACTGTGGAATGCTGTACGAGACAAAAAGTTTGAAATGTTTACATATATATTTTACTAGACGTTATGTTTTGTTAGGCAAGGAGTAGAGTCTTGCTACGTCTACTTCTCAGCTACCTCTAGTTGACTAACAGTCTATAGATGATTTGGACGCGGAGTTGACCACCTTCCTACATCTTATTCACATCTACTTCTAGACAGATAAGTTCATAGAGGCTAGACAGACATCAGACGATACCAGCTGTCTAATATATATCTTCGAGACGTTTAAAAGATGACGTCTTACTAGATAGACGAAAAAGAGGAAAATATGATCTTAATAGACGTCTGTTGGAGATTTTTTTGGCGGTGAAGGGAAAGTGGTAGAGTGTTGGTAGACTGTCTACTTGTCTGTGCTCCCGAAAATGCAAAGCCTCACGAGCCGTCGTCCCTCCACATCCTGCCCTACACAGCCCAGCCCAGCCGAGGAGGTGAGGGTGGAGGGGCGGCGGTTTGGGGCCTGACCGCATGATTGGTCGACGAGGCTAAGGCATCGCCCGTTAAACCGCGCGACGGGCGCCATCGGCTGATCTGGCGCTTGGTGCCACGGGATTATTTCGTTTACCGGACCGCTGCACATTCTCTTCAGCCCGCCCGTCCGCCCGTACAAACATCCATCCATCCATCGATCTGTCCGTCCCTGCAACGCCCGACGCGCCCGTTGCCCACAAGAAGGTCGCCGAGGTGGGGGTTCTAATTAGTAACAGGCGGCCGCTTGCTATCCCATCCCTCGTCTACTACAAATTGGTGCTGTTGCTGTCGAGTTTTCGGCGGGCCGAGTGTGAGTGACGGCGCGTCACGGATCCCACCACGCATCACACACGGGACGCGCCGTGGGACCGGGGAGCCGCGGCGCCAGAGCCGGGCATTATGCACGCCAGCGGCCGATCATTAGAGAAATAGCAGCGTTATGGCGACGGTAACAGACAAGTGTAACGCTAGAGCAGAGTAGCGCTTCGCGTGCTCTTGTGTGCTCCCGTTTAGCAGAAGCGTTTGTAGTCGTGGTGCCTTGTCAGTTACTTGCTACTTCTAAGCGTATACAACCCTCGAAAGGGACTTTTCAAAGGAAAAATGTGTCTATTGGATGCATTTTCAAGCAGATGGTTGCATCACCTCTTTGACAAATTATTTGGATCTGTTATTTTTAAACAATCATAAAATAATGTAATTTTTGTAATTAGAAGTCAAGTCAAGACGGGCTTAAAAATCCATCTTCTGTGGACGTTTCGCGTAACAGGCTTACACTGCGTCGCTCCTGCGTACATCTACCTAGGCATACAAACACAGAGGTAAGGGCGTTCAATCCCCCCCCTTTTCATAGTAACTGTCGAGAACGATCGTTATCAGCCCGCATCTTAAATCGTTCTCGATGTATCGCGCGGGCAGAAACAAGCACCGACCAGGGGATGACTAGGGGAGGGGGGAGGGGTGAGTACTACTACCTTCTTCTACACTACCTTACCTACTACTACTTGTTGTAGTACTACCACTAGTAGTACTACTTTACTACTAACAAACAACCACTTGCCTACCGCTGCTATAGAAATAGTAATACTACTATAATGCTACCACAATAAAAACCAATACTACTATAGTAGTGCTACTACTTTATTACTAATGGTACTGTAGTGCTGATACTAAACTATTATAGTGCTACTACTAAACTGTTAATACAGCTATAGTGCGTCTACTCTACTACTAATACTACTATAGTGCTACTACTATACTAGTGATAGTACTCTATAATAGAACTAGTATTACCAATTATTACTACTTTCACTAGTACTACCAGTGATTACTACTACCACTAGCACTATACCAGTTCTTATTCTTCTACCAGTACTACTAGTGCTACAACTATACTACTACAGTACCACCAGTATTGCCAGTGCTAATACTGTACTACTGCCACCACTAGTACTACCAGTGCTACTACTACTCGGCCCTACCACTGCTAAGGTTCTACCTCTACTATAACTATAACTTTCCTTATTAGTACTACTATGGTGCTACTACTTTACTAGTACTGCAACGACACTATATACTAATAACGACCCCCCCCCCCCTCCCGTCTTTCTCGTTATGGTTGATGTTCCTGTCTGATCTTGACCCCTGCCATCCGTGGGGTAGGCCAACCGCTCAGCTCCACTGCAAATCACATCAATAATTTGCCTAACCACCAGGCGGTCATGTTCCCTTAGATCATACATTTGTTGCTCTTCATACCCGCGCGCGTGTGGCCATGTGACGTACGAGCTACGAGTTCAGAATGGTTTTACAAGAATTGGCCGAACCAAAACCCCAATCCCATTTTCCCCGTCAGTAGTATCACATACAAAATTTTCCCGCGCATTTTCAACACGAAGTGGAAGCGTCAATCTCTGATGCGCCGCCTGTCAAACACAGCCAGACCTGATCTGGATCATGTCGCGCGCCAGTCTACAGAGGTGTAAAGGGGGTCGGAGGGGCTCCGAGGCATGAGGTCCCCATCCCCGAGTTGAGCGATGACGGGAAAATAAATCCAGCCGTGCTTATGGTTGAGTGGCGATGCCCGGCAGTGATGCCCGGCAGTGCCCGGCCGTCTGTCATGTCTGGCTGCGGCATTATTCCGGCCTATTTCTCGGCCCGGCTTACACTGTCACTATCGGGGCAACAACAAAGCGCTGGAAACGAGCGGCTAAAGGGGGCTGCAGAGGGGGACAGGGTTAGCAGGTCAGGAGGCGGCCGTCGCGAAGCGCGCCGTTTCCAGTGATCGGACGATGTGTGAGCCATCGGCGATGCAAATGCTCATCCACAGGTGGGCCAGGAGCGGTATCTGAGAGGGCGACGTACGCTCGACCAATTCTGAAGTAAGGCACACAGGACGCTAGGTATATGCGGGCTGCCACTGTAAAGGACAAACGAGAGACCGACTGCACTCACCGTGGGATCTGGAGACAGTGTGGGGAAGAGGCACCATATCCATTTTTGCGTTGATCAGCTGTTTATCATCTTGATGCACACAAACTATCCGTCCGAGCGCCGGTTGCAGCACTCGGTATGGGTATCCACACGCACACTTGACCCGCCCACGCACTCGCACGCCCACGCACGCACTACCACCACACACGCTGCCGGTCAGAAGCGATCTAAAAATTTACACGCGTCGGAATACGCTTTAAGGACGGTGGACAAGAGAGGAGTGAGAGAGCAGGCAGGCGCGCCGGGCCGGGCCAGGCATCGGGCGGGGATCCCGGCCGGGCCGGCGGCCCGCGGGAAGGGGAAGTCCCCACCGCGCCCCGCCCGCCCGCCCGTCCCGCCGGCGCGCTGCAGAGCAGGTGCCTCGGCCGGCCAGGGCGTAGTGGTCAGGCTGGGGGCGGCGGGGGCGCAGGGGCAAGGTTAGGGCCGTGTACGCGGGCCGAACAGAGGGCTAGCACTACCAACGTCAATTAATTTATGCGTAAAACAAAAAGGTATAGGTTCCCTTTCTCTCGCCGCAGATCGGGCAATTTCAATGCTATTTTTTCG